AGTGGAGAAAAGATAGCCTCTTCAATAAGTGGTGCTGGGAAAACTGGACAGGTACATGTAAAAGTATGAGATTAGATCACTCCCTAACACCATACACAAAAATAAGCTCAAAATGGATTAAAGACCTAAATGTAAGGCCAGACACTATCAAACTCTTAGAGGAAAACATAGGCAGAACACTCTATGACATAAATCACAGCAAGATTCTTTTTGACCCACCTCCTAGAAAAATGGAAATAAAAACAAAAATAAACCAATGGGACCTAATGAAACTTCAAAGCTTTTGCACAGCAAAGGAAACCATAAACAAGATGAAAAGACAACCCTCAGAATGGGAGAAAATATTTGCAAATGAAGCAACTGACAAAGGATTAATCTCCAAAATTTACAAGCAGCTCATGCAGCTCAATAACAAACAAACAACCCAATGCAAAAATGGGCAGAAGACCTAAATAGACATTTCTCCAAAGAAGATATACAGACTGCCAACAAACACATGAAAGAATGCTCAACATCATTAATCATTAGAGAAATGCAAATCAAAACTACAATGAGATATCATCTCACACCGGTCAGAATAGCCATTATCAAAAAATCTAGAAACAATAAATGCTGGAGAAGGTGTGGAGAAAAGGGAACACTCTTGCACTGCTGGTGGGAATGTAAATTGATAAGCCACTATGGAGAACAGTATGGAGGTTCCTTAAAAAACTACAAATAGAACTACCATACGACCCAGCAATCCCACTACTGGGCATATACCCTGAGAAAACCATAATTCAAAAAGAGTCATGTACCAAAATGTTCATTGCAGCTCTATTTACAAAAGCCAGGAGATGGAAGCAACCTAAGTGTCCATCATCAGATGAATGGATAAAGAAAATGTGGCACATATACACAATGGAATATTACTCAGCCATAAAAAGAAACGAAATTGAGCTATTTGTAGTGAGGTGGATGGACCTAGAGTCTGTCATACAGAGTAAGGTAAGTCAGAAAGGGAAAAACAAATACCGTATGCTAACACATATATGTGGAATCTAAGGGAAAAAAAAAGTCATGAAGAACCTAGGGGTAAGATGGGAATAAAGACACAGACCTACTAGAGAATGGACTTGAGGATATGGGGAGGGGGAAGGTCAAGCTGTAACAAAGTGAGAGTGGCATGGGCATATATACACTACCAAACATAAAATAGATAGCTAGTGGGAAGCAGCCACATAGCACAGGGAGATCAGCTCAGTGCTTTGTGACCACCTAGAGGGGTGGGATAAGGAGGGTGGGAGGGAGGAAGACGCAAGAGGGAAGAGATATGGGAACATATGTATATGTATAACTGACTCACTTTGATATAAAGCAGAAACTAACACACCATTGTAAAGCAATTATACTGCAATAAAGATGTTAAAAAAAAAAATCTAACAGATGTGGCCAAAATAGCAATAAGGGGAAAAGTTATAGCCTTTTGTGAATTTGTTTAAAAATAGAAGTTTAGAAATAAATGAATTATACAGTAAATCCAAATAAAGTAGAAGAGGGACTTCCCTGGTGGCCCAGTGGTAAAGAATCCTCCTTCCAATTCAGGGCATGCCGGTTCAATCCCTGGTCGAGGAACTAAGATCCCACATACTGTGGGGCAACTAAGCCCATGCGCCACAACCACTGAGCTCGCACACCTCAGCAAGAGAGCCTGCATGACACAAAGTACAGAGCCCACACGCCCTGGAGCCTGCACACCACAACTAGAGTGAGAAAACCTGCACACCACAACTAGAGAGAAGCCCGCACACTGCAACGAGGAGCCTACGCGCCACAAGGAAAGATCTTGCATACCATGTATATCTAAGACTGGACGCAGCCAAAAGGATTAAAATAAAATAGATAAAGAAAATAAATAAATATTTTAAAAATAAAGAAAGAAAGTAGAAGAAAGAAATACTACATTAGAAAACAAACAAAAAGGGGATTTCCCTGGTGGTCCAGTGGTTAAGACTCCACCTTCCACTGCAGGGGGCGCCTTCCACTGCAGGGGACTCCACCTTCCCCTGGTTGGGAAAGTGAGATCCTGCATGCCACACAGTGTGGCCAAAAAAAAAAAAGAAATAAAGAAAAAGAAAAGAAAACAAACAAAAGGCAAAGACTTGATCATTAAGTCCAAAGCTGTGACAAGACCAAAAAAGACAGACAAACATTTGGCAAGCCTGATTAAGGTAAACAGATATAATGGTCAAGGTGGTTGACTCTTCAAAAAATTATTCCACCTCAAAATGATTAAGCTAAAGTAGGTTATTCCCCCTCTAGTGATTGATTTAGAAATGGACACGTGACCCATTCCTGACCAATATGATGTGATGGGAAGATTGCTGGAGAAAGGTTTTCTCACTCTTAAGAAAGAGACACATAGAAGAGAGAGTTAGTCCCTGCTTCCTATAGATCTTTGGGAGTGAGGCCTGGAACTGCTATAATCATCGTGCTGCTAGGCCAAGGGCAATGCCCAAAGGATTGTAGAAAAGCGGATCCAGAGTCCTGATGCACTAGAGACACCCTGTCTCTGAACTTTTTGTTGTGTGAGATAATACATTTCCTATTGTTTAAGCCAAGTTGAATCAGATTTCCTGTTATTTCCAGCGGAAGTCATCTGACAAAAAAGCAAGCAAGCCCAAAAGCTAGGTACGAGAGGGGGGATGTAAGTACAGACACAAATTATTACCAAAAAATAGAAGAAAATACAGTGTACAGCTGCATACCAATAAAATGGATGATTTTCTAGGAAAGTAACATTTTTCAAAATTGACTCCAAAAGAGATAGAAAAGTCTGATCAGACAAATAATGACAGGAAAAAAAGTTTGTCAAAGGTCTATCCTAAAAAAGGTATCAAGCCCGTAGGATATTATAGGAGAATTCTATCAAATTTAAATTAACTGATATAAAAGGAAGTTGAAGGATCTTAGAAACTAAGAAACAGGGCCAATTCAGGGCTGTAGGAAGTTAGTCCCATCTGGGCAGTGCTATTGGGATGAGTGAACTTCACTTGTTTTCAGTCATACTGTCACTCTGCTCAAGATTTAAATTCCAGGGAAACAGCTCCTGATTGACCCAGTTTGGGGCGCACGTTCTTCTCTAAAATCAGGCATGAAGTCAGCCCACCTACCCACTTGGACTGAGGGGAGGTAGAGCTATTTAGTCAAAGGGAAATCATGTTCTGTTACTGGAATCAGGGGAAATTCACGCTGGACAGGAACACTGTCCATTATAATTGGATTGGCAAAAATTAAAAACACTCAACATTGACAAGGGGGTCAGGAAATGGGTACCCTAATATGTCCTTCTTTGGGAGGACATGTAAACTGCTTTCTTAAAGATAATATGAGAGTATCCTTTGAGCCAATGATTCTACTGCTAGGAATTTATCCTGCAGAAATACACGTGTAGTCAAAATAATCATCCAAGAATGTTGGTCATTGAAGTATTGTGTATAACAATGAAAAAGTGCTAATACTTAAAATGTTGGTTAAATTAAATATGGCATAGAAATTGTTCTATAGAATACTATATAAACCTTAAAAAAATACTTCCATGGAAGAGCTCCATAATAAACTATTAATCAAAATAAACCAAATGCATAAGCATATGTAAAGTGTGATCCCATTTATGGCCTTAAAAAAACTATAAATATGTATTAGACGCATATCAAAAAAATATATATATATACTCCACATGTTCGACAGTGGTTACCCACCAAAGGGAGAACAGAATGGGGATGGGGGGCAAGGACAAAATGGAACTCTCAATTTTCCTCTTTATATTTCTGTATTATTTGAGTTTTCATGCTCACAATGAGTATGAGTTTTTGCCTATGTGTAAAAATCTAATGTGATCCATATGTTTATACATATTGCTATAGACAGGAATGTGGATTGACATCTTTTAAACCTTAGCATTAGATGCAAGCTTTTATATACAGAATGGATGAAAAACAAGGTCCTACTGTGTAGCACAGAGACCGATATTCAATATCCTATGATAATCCATAATGGAAACAAATATTTAAAAAAGAATGTATATATATGTATAACAGAATCACTTTGCTGTACAGCAGAAATTAACACAATATTGTAAATCAACTATACTTCAATAAAAAAGTATTAAAACCAAAAAAAACACTTAGTATTGATTCTTTCTGATTTGTGAATTTATAGGTAATCTTAGTTATCTTTTTTGCTTATCTGTATTTTAATTTTATTTTAAAAATTAGCAGAGTAAAATAATTTACTTATAAATAAGTTGCTACCATGTAATATATAAATAAAGGGACATACATGGTTACTATAAAAATGGGCATGAGCATGTGAACAAGAAAATCGCAAAAGAAGAACTATGAATGGCTAATACTCTTAAACGCTCTAATTCTAAAGCATGTAGTTTGGCATAAAGTAAGCTCCTCAATAACCCAGTAATTGCAATTACTATTCCTTATTATTATAATGATATGTGAGTATGAAATACAATATGTGAGTATTATAGAAAGCTATGGAAACTACCCAACAAAGGAAGCTGCTAAATCCTGATTGCAAGAATGTTGCACAGTGAAGCTCTTAGAGTCCCGGGAAAAGGAGCCCTCTCCAAGGGCACCAACCAAACTCCCAACGAAGCTGTCAGTCACGTTTCTAACCTACCGGGAACTTCTCTGAGAAGTTCACATCCTTCTGTTAACTATAATAGGAGAACAGCAGGGCAGAGTCAGCAGTCTCCACTGAGGACTCATCTGAAGTTTGGCTTCCTGAGAACTGGTGTTTATTTGCCGTGGGAGGAAGGGGAAGGAGACATGAAAACAAGAACACAAATTCATTGGAAGACGGATATTCAGTTTTTAGAAGAGGGGTACTCGTCCTACACTCCAAATCTTTTCTCTCCCTCACTTCCTACCCATTACTACCTTCCCAAGATTCTTACCATTGAAAAGAAACAGACCCCGAATCAGTCTACACTCCAACCGGTACAGTGTTTAAAAGGTAATGTTGTTAGTGTAGTATTTTATTATAAAAGTAATATATGATCTGTACAGAAAAATTAACAGAGAAAATGAAAAGCACCAATAATTCCACCACCCTGAAACAATCACTTTTAATATATTGGCATATGTTAGTCTATCTCAACATTTTTGAAATCATACATACTTATCTAATTTTTCTCATGTAACCTGTAACATAAGCATTTCCCATGTTTCTACAATCTCTTAATAAAGGTAATTTTCACTGGCTTTGTGGGTATATAACAGAAGAGTCCTGATGGCGAGAAGTGCTGAAGCACAGAAGAAATCAGCATTCAGTTATCTGAGACCATATCGTCTGTGGCTTTCAAAACAGGGAGATTTAGGGTTCACATAGATAACTCTGGAAGAGTCATTCTCCTTTAGAACTGCAGCATCCTCTTCTCCTCCTTCAGAGGAATTCAGGACAGAAGACACCAGATCTTGGCCTCTCTGATTCTCTTCCCCAAGTTCCAGGCAAGAAAATGAAAACTAAATGTTGTTCTGGTAAACCGACGACTCTGTTTCTTCCTCTGCAACTTCCGGATACGAGAGAAGTGAATAGGTGACTGTATTCTCAGCCTAGAGAAAGCAGAAAGGAGCAATGGGGATCCACAGAGAGGTCACAAGAATGAAAGCAACAGAAGAAGCGGCAGGGGAGAAGGAGAAGCATGTGGCCGGGATGGCTCACCTCCATTTTGGCAGCCTCTTCAGCATCAGCGAGATTGGCTGTGGGCAAAAAGAACAGAGATCAGCGGGGGCACTGCCTACCCGCGCTGCTGCTTGAGGCCCAGACCAGGCTTGAGGCGAGGACCACTGATCCCCAACTCAGGCCTGCAGGCCAAAAGCTTCATCCCCCACCCACCCTTGGTATCCCAGACATGGCCTCCCGCACGGGCCACACTAGCAGAGGGAGGCGCTCATTTGTGCTGCACTCATTTCAGAGGATCACTGAGTTTTCCTCAAAGCAACCAGGCAGCTTCGGGGATCTGAGATATACTGGGGAGGAGATGGGGGTGTTGGTATTAGAGTGAAGTAATCCAGATGTTTGCCAGCCACAGATGGTGGCCTTCCCACATTGGCCAGATGTAGTATATCTCTGTTGGAACTTTGAAGAATCTGACACTCTCTGATCTCACAAAGAAAGAAAGCATGAGAGTGAGAGTGAGCAAGGGAGGCTGGAGGAAAAGAAAGAAGGAAGCAAGCAACCCAGCCAGTACTCTCCCTGGTAAAGATCTAAGACACATCCAAATGTCCTCATGTTTTTGCCAATAAACTCACTTTGCCAGTGCGAAAAGCAGCCTCAGTAACTGCAAAGCAGCATTCCTCAGGAAGTGGGGAGGGAGTCTGAGACAATGCATCTAGTGTCTTCATTCATCTCCAGGACACAATGAGTCCCTGTGTGCCATGCTCCAGCTTCTGGAACAAACCACGTCCTGAATTCTCCTTCTAATGCATCCCTCAACCATCCCGGCAACTTAGCTGTGCCTTTTGGGAAACCATCAGCCCCAGTGCCTTCCTGCGAAATAAATGCCTTGTGAAATATATTTATGCCGGTGTAGGTAGAAGCAAACATCAAAATGGCTAATCCACTTGTGTTTGCACTTTTTTCTACAGCACTTTGGCCCTGGTGAAGACTCTGGTCCATATCCCCATTTGGCCTGGCCACAGGACATAGGGGCCTTGCTCAAAGCACAGCCGGACAGCTGTGCCATTTTGCTCAAGCTCTCAAACCTGTTGGCTCTGCTCTGAGTCATACTCCAGCCATCTGAGGTGGAGTCCTCGAAGGCTTCTTTTTCCTGTCCATTTCTGCTGTCTGGGAGTCCCCAGAGAAAGCTCCCGTTTCCTTCGTGCTCTGGCTTTAACTGCAGTCAGGAAGTCGCCTGGAATATTACTGCTCCTTTAACACATTCCCACTTGGGCCAGGGCTTGGGTGGTCACTGACTCTCAGAATGTCAGGCCTGGAAGGGCTTAGAGATCACCCAGGCCAACCCACTCATCTCCTCAATGAGGTGACTAAACCCCAAGAGCGGGAATGACACTCAAGATTCCATTTTATGATAGTGACAGAGCTAGGGCCAGGCCTGCGTTTTAATAAGCCTACACGAGTGGGCATTAGAACCAAGATTTGCCCACAGAGTAAAGCCCACTAATGCACGTGGTACCCCAGAACTTTCTCAGGCCGAAATCTCCTCTTAATGTTCCACTAAGAGCTGAGCCCTGGTACCCTTACCCAATCATTCCACAGAGACAGACTCTGCAGCAAATCTAGGTTTTATTCCTTAGGGCTCTTTCTCCTTTCCTCTAGAATTTTATCCCCTTAATTCTATTTGCCTTAGTCTTACAGCGTCTAAGCCCAGTCCTCTGCCAGCTCTTCCAAAGCTTCACAGGAAGACCTAAGTATCTCTGATGTCCTGCTCTGGAAAAATCCCCAGCAGTTCTGACCCCAGAAACTCGGACAAGGCCCTCGCCTCTCTATCTAGGACAGGTGTTCATCTTCTCCTTGTCTCCAGTGAGGTCCTCTTTAGGCCCAGGAGTTAGTCTCAGAACTGACCAAGAGATTTGAGCCCCTGCCCTCTGCCCACTGCCCCCTCCCTCTCCTGTGCTCCCAGCAGAACTCACACAAGCAGCTTCTTGATGCACAAGGCAGGGTGTCATTGAGCCCCCAGAGCGGGAGCTGCACTCACCTGGCTCCTCAGGGAGGGTCTCTCCCATTTCCCTGTGTTCAAGGGTTCCTGGGAGGGCTAGGAGGGGCACATAGGAGGTTAGTAGGATTATGGGGTAGGACCTGAGTCTTCAGGACCAAGGATGACCAGAGGCAAGATTGGGTTAGAGCCAACACACACCCTTCTTCCACACAGACACCTCCTCTCCTCCCCACTCCCCAGGGACTGCTCTAGCCTGTACAAGGGCTGGTCTAGAGAGATGTAAGTTGGCTAGGTTAACAGTAGGGACTCCTGGGACTGTCAGAAAGGCCATTCTATTGCATCTTTCTTAAGCTTGCTCTGCCTTTTAAAAAGCACCTCTTTCTTCCTCTCGGTGTCTCTCCCTGAATCTCTACATTTACTTGTCATCAGTAACTGAGGTCTTGGCTATGAACCAACTGCAAAGTGCTTTGTGAGGTATTAGCAGTATTATTTTCTCTTTGTCAATGGCTCTGAGTCTTTTCTCCCTTTTACTTTCTCTGTATCTGGATATCTTTAGCACTTTCTCTCACCAGCAAGCTAGCTTTTCAGTGTTACGAATCGTGACCATTTGCTTATTAGATTTGTAGGACACCTTCCCTTCTCTCTCGGCTCTTTAATGTTAGTACTAAGGGGGAAGGAGGCTGCTTTCCGAGAGTTGAAGTTCTTCAGCTGATCAGTCAGTGAACAAATGTTTATTGACCATCTTGCTGCGTGGCAAGCCTGTGCTAGGTGCTGTCGGGGGGGGCGGACGGGGGAAAGCGCAGAACAAGGAGACGTGGTTACTGCCCTCCTGTGCTCTTGCCAACCCCTTTGGAATACAGCTTAGTTCTTCAAAGGTAGCCTACGTGGATTCCATGACCTGGAATACATCCTTCTGCCCTGCTTCATCTCTCCTTTTTTTCTGCCTCGTAATTTATGGCTTCAATGGCATCAAACTGCCTACAGCAACCTCCTTACTCTTCCATGATCCCCATCCTAGCCACAATGCTTCTCATTTCCATGTCTTGGCCCCCACGCCTGGAATGCTCTTCTAATCCTCTTTGCCTGGTCAACTGCTACCCTCAAACATCACCTCCTCCATAACGATAACAACTGATACTATGTGATGTTTGCTGTCCTCTAGCTGCCGGCTCATTCACCCTCATAACCCTGTGAGGTAGGTTCTATTCGTGGCCTCATTTTTCAGATGAAGAAACTGAGGCACAGAGAAGTTGAATGTGATGAGAAAAACAACGTTTATTTTCCTGAAAAAACAACTTTGTTTTCCTGAGTTGCTGCCTAGGCATTTTACAGTATGATAAACTGCTTACACCCAGAATCGGAACATTTGAGATAAGGACTTGAGTTTAGGACTCCCGCCATCAGTTCTCGCTTTGCTTTTCCTGGGGCACCTTTTAAAATAACCCCTTAGCGTTAAGCCCGCAAAATAGTGTCCTCCGCCCCAATCACTTTATAAGTACTAGCGGCTTGCTACACTGCTCTCTCTCTCCTGCTCACCCATGACCGGGGACAGAGGACTGCCACTCCCTTTCCCATTTCTGGGATCTGTAAGTAGCAAGTCTTGTGACTCTACTTCCTTTGCGTGAGCGTACCGAAACTGTACTTTCAATCAAAATGACCCCGGAGTTTTCACTTCCCCAATCTGGGAAGTAAAATCAGATGCTGAGGGAGCTGCCAAGCCCATGTGGGTGGCTTGTGCCTCCTCTTTCAGCAGGTCATGATCTGCACATTCTTAAATGAATACACCAACTCCATCTTCTCCACATATTGCCTAACTCACCCAACGTTATCCAGCTGGTGAGCCGAGGAGCTGGGATTTAAGCTCAGGCAGTCTGGCCCCACCCGGTGTGCTTCAGTCGCGACACAACACTGCATTCCTGTGAAGCCTTCTCTAACTGCCCCGGCCCATGCTGGCTTGCGCCAGCTCTTCTGTCCCCCGTCACAGCCTGCCTTTGCGTTCTCTAATTCTGATCTTATCCCCTCTAATTATACTGATCTATTTGCATTTCAGTCTTCCCCACAATATTATGAACTCCCTGAGGGCAGAGACTGAACATCTTTATCCTGGCATCATCCACAGAGTCTATCACAGTGCTTGACACATAAGCAAGTTTGTTTAGGCCTGTTAAATGAATGCATGAATAAAATATGGGACTGTATTTGAATGCTAAGGATGCTCTAGCCCAAAGATAAGGGTTCTAGCAATGTTTGGGGTTAGGGCCTTGACTAAGTAGGAAGTGATAACAAGAGGGACCGAGGGGAGGCACAAACCTGAAATCTTTCGCCTGAGGCAGAACCAGGCTACTATGGTGCCAGCAATAGCCATTGCAGCAATCCAAGCGACTACAGCCACCGCGATCGTCACCGACAAGGAGTTGCTCCAGCTGGACCCTATGAAACACAGGCGCCCTGTCCCTCCTCCAACACAACACTCACTTCCCCCCTCCACCTCACCTGCACAGGATTTCTGGAACTGGGCTTGTGCCTCTCCCATACCCACGTTTCTCTGCTAATCTAATGAAGGCACGCTGTTGAGTGTGTAAGGCAGAGGGAAGGGTTCCTCTTAGCCCCTCGGGGATGGCAGGGAGGGTGAACCTGACGCTTCCACCACTGTACGCAGCAGAGCCTTGAACTGTCAAGGACATGCCATGCCTTTGAGAGTGAATGGACATATCATGAGACATGAGAAGAAATTAGGAAAACCTCAGCTCTTAGGAATGTCCAGGCGCTTAGAGAACTTCTGCACCAATGAGAGAGCTCTGTTCCACTGCTGGGCTTGGTGTGATGGGGCCTATATTTCAAAGAGGAACAACAGCCTTGTCACCTATCACCTGGAAGCTGAGGGCTCCGAGCTCTGGTCAGCACTTAGCAAGGTGCCATGCCCCTGCCCTTTGCCCCAGAGCCCAGGTTTGCTCAGATCTCCCTGTAGGTCCATGTGACCTTACCCCTAAATGTCTAACCCCTCTTCTCCCCTCCTTTCATCTGCACAGAGTTCCCACCTTGGACAGTGATGGTCACAGGCTGTGATGAGTACACCGTCTGCCCGATAAATCCCGTGCAGTGGTACTCGCCACTGTGACTGAGGTTTGCTTGTGGGATACAGAAGTTGGAACGCAGATGGGAAAACGTCTTGGATTTTCCATTCTGGAAGAATATGACCTTATTCAGAGAACTGTTTCTCCAGCTGTGGCACCTCAGCACGATGGGCTCCCCTTCCTGG